CTGAAGGCAATCTTGTATAAGGAAGCTTTTAAAAGTTTAATGTTTTCTTATGTTTTTATATATGTTGGAAGCCGCCCAGAGTGGCTGGGGCAATAGATAGTAAAATTATCATTACTGAATGGGATGTCCCTATTTTCATTGGAGAAATGTTGGAGGGCATGTAATTGGCAGCCAGTACAGTTGGACTAGGATTGGTATAATATGCTCAAACCATCTTGCCGCGTTGAGCAACCTGGCCACTGAATTCTGCACTAGCTGAAGTTACCAAATTGTCTTCAGAGGCAGCCCTGTGCATGTATGTGTATATATAGGTGCACATTTAGAAATAATGGATATCACTTAAAGAGAAATAAAATACAATGGTACCTTGGTTTTCAAACAGCTTAGTTGGAACCTGAAAACTGCAAAAGTAGGTGTTCCAGTTTTCAAACTTTTTTCGGAAGCCGAACGTGCTCTGTTTTGAGTCCCCCTGTGTTTCCTGTTGCACTGCTAATTTGCGTCCCTCCCCCATTGTAATTCAAGCCTTCCACTTCCGATTGCAGTGTTCTGAGGTGATATTTGGAGCTTTTATTTGGTGCTTTTGTTTTTGCTATTTATTTTGCATTTTTTGTTTTGAGGCTTTTTTAGTTAAATTGTTTTTGTCACTGTGTGGATCCCAGTTCAGCTACTGATTGATTGATTGTGTGATTGCAGAAATGGATAAAAGCCGCCCCCCCCATCCAAACAATGACTATCATCAGTGCAGGTAAGAAAAAATAACAATTTTAATTTTTATCTAAAATACTGTTTTATTTATTTTATAGTACAGTACAATGGTTCCTCAGGTTAAGTACTTAATTTGTTCAGGAGGTCCTTAACCTAAAACTGTTCTTAACCTGAAGCACCACTTTAGCTAATGGGGCCTCCTGCTGCTGCTGCGCCGCCGGAGCACGATTTCTGTTCTCATCCTGAAGCAAAGTTCTTAACCTGAAGCACTATTTCTGGGTTAGCAGAGTCTGTAACCTGAAGCGTATGTAACCCGAGGTACCACTGTACATTGTTTATTGCTTTCATTTTATGGATCAATGTTGGTCTTTCAAGATAGTAAAATTCATGTTAAATTGCTGTTTTAGGGGTTGCTTTTAAAAGTCTGGACCGGATTAATCCGTTTTGCATTACTTTCTATGGGAAAGCACGCCTTGGGTTTGGAACGCTTTGAGAACCAAGGTACCACTGTACACAGTAACAGATGTATCTTAAATTACAATGTTCCCTGTTCTATGAAAGACAAACAAGAAAGCTAAAAAAATGGACAGAAAAATATATATAAGGAAACAACAGCACGTGACTTTGCAGAAGGGTCATATTTACGTCCTTTGAAAAGCTTACTTTTTAGTACATGAGGCACAATGGGTTTCACCAGAGCACAGCCAAAGCACATACACCTATCACTGTCCATAATATGTCCATAATATTCACAGAAAATGTAATTCAATTTATTTCAAAATAATGAAAATACATAATAAAAGAACACCAAGATCAAGTTATGTTGCTATTGTCAAAAATTCCTGAGATTCAAATCTTACCATCAATATAGTTTTGCAATGCATGCACCACCCTAAAGAAACCACAAGGGGGCGATGTGTACCTTCCAAAGCTACACATTGCTCCCTATTGCTCTGTCTTAAAAAACAAGAACCAAAAAAAACTGGTTCTCAACTAATTTTCTGAATCATATGAATAGAATAGACAAGAAGACCAATAAATCCAGCAAACTTGACGGCCACTATGATTAAACCACATGATCCAGGCCATGGCTTGTCACCAGCAGAGAACAGAAGAGAACAAGGGTGGAGTTGCAATGAATCTCTGTGCTTTAATTTTATTCCCAAAGTGAAATGAAAATACTCATGGCTACAAATAAGTGTCCTGAATAAAGCAACAGGTTTTCAGCATTGTTGGAGATCCGGGATGTGATGGGAGCAACAGCCAGACACCAAGTGGAGGCTGGTTTATTGGGGCAAACAGGGTACTGCCCCACCAACCACAGTCTGCTCCCTGCCAGTCCCACCTAGCTTCCTTCTTATGTGCAAGCAACCAGGGTGGTTCTGACTGTTGTTAGCTCTGGCGCCACCTGCTGTTGGGCTCCTAACCTTCCAACCTACCAGTCCCAAACTGCACCAGCCACCACTGCTGACACCAATTGTAGGAGAAGAACATGGCTGGCACTCAGATGAGGAGCAAAGAAAAGAAAAACCAACAAAGAGCATGGTCTTCAAGCTTCAAAAAGACCCAAACTGAGTTTTGAAAAGAGGAGGAATCCTCACTGCGTGTGGCCAGTAGTAAGACCATCTCTGCAGAACCATCTGCAGGTTTTAACACTGTCTTGAAATCACCGCCCACCTGTTTACACACACAAATACATAGATGACCCTTCAGCACTTTCAATTCAGCATTTGTTTAGAGGTCCTTTAAGTGGAGGCAAAATGTGTTTTTTGCACAAGGACCTTTTATCTGACAGTGGTACATTTTCAATCCCTAATCTGGGTTTGCTCTGCCTGTGGGAGACAGAACCAATCCAGTGAGAGGTGATGGTGGGTAGTTTGCCAACTTTGGTAGGTTCACAAGCAACCATTGTTCCCTGAACAGGGATAGCATTGTCACATAGCAGTCCCTGTATTAATCACCTGACGTTTATAGAACTGTCATGTGCTGTATTTGGGACTATCCCGGTTCAGAAGTGAACCACACTAGGATCTTCAGACAAAGGGCGGTATACAAATTTAATAAACAATAATATATATAAAAATAAGTGACATATAGTGCAAAACACAGCTGGTAGGGTGCTCAGTGGAACACCGAGCTTTCTACACATTACCCCAGTGTCAAAAAAATTGCACTGGCTTCCTATCACCTACTGAGCCAGGTTCAAGCTTTTACTGCTGACATCTAAAGCCCTAAACCAGGGGTCTGCAACCCGCGGCTCCGGAACCGCATGTGGCTCTTTTACACCTTTGCCGCGGCTCCGGGGCGGATACTAGCAAGGGGAGGAGGCGCATTGTGCGCCCTGACACTCCCCACTGTGGCGGGCGCTGTACTGGCTGTGACGTCGCATGGGGGCGGTGCGTGCGTTAGTCACGCACCGTCCCGACGTCACCTTCCCGCCCTCCTGCCCGCCCGCTACATTGTAAGGGGCATGTACGCTGGTCACTGCATTGAAAGGGGGCATGTATGCAGGTCACTGTTTTGAAGGGGAGTGAAGAACACACACAAAAAAAGGTAACTTGTTAATTTAACGTTTATTTCTATGAGGAGGAGTAATTCTGAGGGGTCAAACAAAGAAATAATAAAAAAGTGACAAAAAAATTATTTTTATAATGACGAGTTTTGCAGCTCCCAGGTTTTTTTTCTTCGGAAACGGGTCCAAGTGGCTCTTTTTGTCTTAAAGGTTGCAGACCCCTGCCCTAAACATACCCACACTGCATAGTTAAACCGCAATTGCCCTACCTCAACCAAAGTAGAAATGGCCACCAACTTTGATGGCTTTAAATGTTTATTGGACAAATTTATGGAGGATAAGGCTATCGCTAGCCAAGGTGGCTATGTTCCACCTCCACTGAAAAAGGAAGTATGCTTCTTAATGCCTGTTGCTGACAATCACAAATGGGTAGCATTCTGTTTCACTCAGGTCCTGCTTTGGGGGCTTCCCATAAGGGCATCTGGTCGGACACTGTGAGAACAATATCCTGGACTAGCTAGGACACTGGCTTGATCCAGCAGTTTCTTCTGATGTTCTTACATTCTTAACAACTAGGGACTAGGGTACCTAGCAGACTGCCTTCCCCAGTACAAACCAAGTTGAGTCTTAAGACCTTCCAAGGAACCCCTACTGGTCACTGCATGGGTTAGCCGATTACCACTTCTTGACAACACAGAAGGGGGACTCCTAGGTATAACACCTCTCTTTTGGGTGGCTTCAAAGGCAGTAACCAGCTTTAAACACTTCTTAAAGACCTTTTTATTCCTTTCCTGGACCTTGAGTCCTATTTGTGAGCCTTTTTTTGTACCGTCCTCTTCTGTCTATGATATATACTTTTGCACTGTTTTCATTTAACTTTTTAAAAGAAGTTTTATTTGATCGTTGTTGCATTTTTATAGAAATGATATATCAGGTTGTATCCAATTGAGATCTGCTCAGAGTAGATCTACTGAAAGTAATGAACCTAAGTTAGTCATTGCTGTAAACTTCAATGGGTCTACTCTGAGTAGGACTAGAACTAAATACAACCCTTGGGATTTATTTTTATACAAAAGTGGTACCAATATTTTATAAATGCATAAATCTGGTGCAGCTTCAGATTTTGTGTTTTTAAAATGTGCACTTAAGATTTTATAAAATAATACATAAGTAAAGTTTACAAGTAAAGGACCTGTCTGCATCTGCAAACATGTACTCCATAGAGGTGAGGCTCATCAGCACACCAGGATTAAGCAAGAGATCTGTGAGGAACAGCAAATCTAGCCTTGGGTGTGTGAAATGGCCTTAGATATGAATGCCAGCATTGATTGTCCTTGAGCCTTTGACCCTTTGCATAATCAAAGCAGAAACCTGAACTGAAAGATTCCGCAAGTCATCACACCAATTATCACATCCCCAGCCGGGCATGTCAGTGCAGGAGAGGCTGTCTTACACCTGCAGGATTTCTGTTGGTAACATGTTCTCCCCACAAAGCAATCAGTCAAACATTGAAAGCTATTTGCAAGCTGTGTCTGTAGCGAAGCAGCACCCAAGCTTCTGAAAGCATTTGGGTAGAGAGATATTCCCCTTCTCCAGGTTTGGTAGAGGAAGGTGTGTGCATGTGTGTGTGTGTTGCAAAAACTTGACCTAACAGTTATTTCATCCTTTGAAATTTTCTTAAAGTTTGCTGTGCAATAGAGTGCCTCAGGTGACTCCTGTCTGATGTAGCTGTTTTTGATGAAAGCCTGTGTAGGGATGCAGTGGTGTCCTTTCCTTTGGAGAAGGATAGCACAGTGATAAAGCATCTGCCTTGCAAGCAGAAGGTCCTACATTCAATCCCTGGGATATCCAGGTAGGGTTGGGAGAGACACCTGCCTGAAATCATGGAGAGCTGCTGCCAATCACTGTCCAATGGTCTGTTTTAGAATCTTAGAACTGTAGAGTTGGAAGGAACCTGAGGTTCATCTGGTCCAACCCCCTGCAATGCAGGAATCTCAGCTAAGGTATCCCTGACAGATGGCTAACCTCTGCTGAAAAACCTCCAGGGAAGAAGAGCCCACCACCTCCCAAGGGAGTCCATTCCACTGTCAAACAGCTCTTAGTGTCAGAATTTTTTTCCTGATGCTTAGTCAGAATCTCCTTTCTTTTAACTTAAAGCCACTGGTTCAGGTCCTATCCTCCAGAACAGGAGAAGACAAACTTGCTCCATCGTCCCCCCGGCAACCCTTTTGATATTTGAAGATGGCTATCATATCTCCTCTCGGTCTCCTCTTATCCAGGCTAAACATGCCCATACCATTCCTCAGAAGGCTTGGTTCCCATACACTTGATCACCTTGGTTGTCCTCCTCTGCATGTGTTACAGCTTGTCAGTAACCTTCTTAAATTGAGTTGTGCAGAACTGAACACAGTAATCCAGTTGGGGTAAAGTTGTTTTCTCTCAATGTGCTCAATGTGGTGTGCATGGTTCTCCCCCATCTCATTTCATCCCAACAACCCTGTGAAGCAGATTAAGGCTGAGAGGCAGTGGTTGGTCCAAGGTCAACAAGTGAACTTCATGGCCAAGTGGGGATTTGAACCCTGGTCTCCCAGGTCCCAGTCCAACACTCAGACCACTATGGCAAACTGGCTCCCATGTGTTAATGATCTGCCATTCACTCCAAGGCCCTAACAACTTAAGATTCAGCATTAAACATGGTTTAAAACACATTGCAATCACAAGAATAGGGTGAGTCCTAAAAATATGCAACTTGGGTGTCAAAGATGAAGGTAAAGAAGCGGACCTTCCACATTCAACCAAAACTGTGCAGTGAAGTATCTTAGAATCATAGATTTGGAAGGGACCCAAGGGTTGTCTAGTCCAACTCCCTGCAATGCAGGAATCTCAGCTAAAGCATCCATGACACACAACTTAGGTATCTGAAGAAGTGTGAATGCACACGAAAGCTCATACCAACAACAAACTTAGTTGGTCTCTAAGGTGGTACTGGAAGGATTTTTTAAAAATTTTGTTTCAACTTAGGAGCCATCACACAAAATGCCCTGTCTCACACCACTACCACCCTTAAGGTTTTGATGGTGATGGAACTACCTGGAGGGACTCTAAAAGCTGATCTTAAAACTCAAAAGGGAAGGAAGCCATATTTCCAATATTCATGCAGTATAACATTATCCTGATTGGTTTTATTGCATCTGTCTTATTTTGCACCCTGCCCTGGGATTTCTTAGCAAGGAAGGGCAAGATAGACATATTGACAATAAATTAACTATGTATTACAATATGAATTTTCATACTTTTTTTTTAAAAAAAGATCAATGCACAAATTTGATAGAAGGGACTGACTAATGAACACACATAACACTGAGATAGAAGAGAAACAGACCAATCTATTCTTTTCTTATCCAAAACTGCTTAGTTTCAGTGATGTTACTGCATCATGAGTTGTCAGAAGATGCCCTGAAACCATTTCAGATTAAGGAGCTAGTTTTTGAACTCAGGAATCCTGGGTACAAAACCAATGCTCCATTTGAAAGACTTTGCTTGCTCTCCACAGGTATAATGCATGCACTGTTAGACTTGCATCCCTTCCATGGAGGAGTGCCAGGTAAGTAAGCAAACAGCTAAACTCCCTACTGCTTATTGTTGGCTGAACAAGGCTTTGATCGTCTACAATAATAAAAATCACAGTCATTTTGGTCCATTATACGTGACTTACCATCTCCCTCCCCCTCCCTCTGCATTCATAAAGTCCACATTCTGAAGACTAAACTTTGGTTGACAAAGTCTCTTTTCATATGGAAAAGGGTCTCGTTAAGGCAAAAAAAGGAGAATAAAAAGCTGACTTACATTTGACAATTTGTCACGCTGTAAGAGATATTGTGTGCAGGGTTTGAGGGCAGAGGGTAGGGCAAGAAGGTGCATAAAAGTTTTTTTGGAGGGGGAGATAAAAATCGCATAGAGAGAGAGAAAATCTGTATGCGGAGGAAGAAAAGCTTTTTTATTATTATTCAAACAAAGGAAGTCATTTTAGAGCAGGCAACGCTTTCTTTTCAAGGCGGCATTGCGAGCGTTGTGTTTCCTTTTCAAGATTACAGATGTTGTTGTGTTAAAAGTGAATTTCATTTCATCACAATCAATGGCTTTCCCCTGCTCATCACCACCTTTCAGCTGCCATCAGAATGCTTGGCTCCTCTTCCGAGCAGGAATGGGATGTTCCCTTCAAATCAAAATGGGGGGAGGCTCGGAGCAGGAGAATGTCACCTACAGAAGGGTAATTTCTAATTTCTCTCCTCTCCTTCCACCCCACACACCCTCCTTGCACTGTTAAATTACTTCCAGCTTATTTGTCTGGCTAGAGGTTAATGAAACACTAATGATGTTAATGAGCCATGCACAACCACAAGCCTTCTACCCCCCTTTTTTTCAAGAAAGAGATATAATAGCTGTTTTCCTTCCCTTTTAATCTTTTTTGTCATTTGGGAATTACAGGCCGAAGCAATTAACGGCGCACACAGCTCTCCTCTTCCCTTTCAGTCACAGCCCAGTGAGGCAAAGAGGAGAAGGCTATTAAGCTTGCTTTGAATGTTTACAGGTGAGAGCCGCTCACCAGCCAATGCAACATGCAGTTCTGGCCAGAAGGCAGAAGCAGTAGCTGGTGGTGGAAGGCAGTGGTGAAAGGAGCCATCTGCCAAGGAAGGCTGCTGGTGGCAACTTGGTGGGGAGGAGCTGACCAAGGTGCTGAAGTGTCACTTGCTGCTGAGAGGAGGAGATGGAAAGAGGCAAGGACAGACAGTGATCAGCAACCTTAAGTAGGCAAACCGAATGAGAGAGTGAGACGGGCAGCTACTTGGCTCTTGATGGCTGCCATAGCCAGAAGGTACAGAGGTATACAGGGCATTTGGACACCTTAATTGGCAGGTTATGAATGCCATGCACACACGACACCAGATCCTGCAGGACCTTACCTATCCTAACCAGCCTTAAGCCTTGTTAAACCTTAATGAGGCTTCTGCCATAGGTATGCCTCCAAGTAAAGATGTCACCAAATGTCAGGTGAAACATAACTATAGACAAAGATGCAGGGTCTTGGAGAAGAAGCCACAACAGAAAAGAGAGAGAGAGCAACAGACAGACAGACCTACAGGCACGTGCGTGCGTGCGTGCATGCGTGTGTACACACACACACACAGGGTGGATGTCATGAAAATAGGGGTAGTATTGGGTGCACTTTTGAAAACACTGTTTTGGGGTGCACTCATGTATCCCAGGTGGCTGGGAAATTGTTTATCCCCCCCTTTTAATAAAACTTTTGTTATCACGTACGGCAGAGGTGATTGAGATCTTCATCATGACCAGTGAAATGATATCAAGAGGTTGAGGGTGGTGGTGAGGTTTTTTTTTAGTAAAATATTGAAGACTCCAATGGCTGGTCTTATCCACTTTGAATTCAGTTGATCTGTTTCCAGAAAATGTGTTTCCCTCATATTTTTGGGACCACATCAGAATTTAAGCAGATATATTCTTGTAAAAGGATAACATGCAAGTCCTTGCTTCACAATTTCCATGACTTTTGTAGTATATTTCAAAAGATGCTTCCATCCAAATTCCAAATGCAGTCTTGAGCTCAGGAATGACTGTATATTAAGAGTTGGCAATTGATTTTCACCTGAAGCAACATTTTAAGTAAAACTGTGGGTTCTTCTTTCAGCGAAACAGCCAAAGGATTCTAAGACAAGCTAAAATAATTTCTTGGGGGATTTCTGCATATCCTAGGCTGTCACTTTGCTTTCTCCAAAAATGAACTCATAAGTGCAAAAATATGTAAGGAATTTGGGGAGAAGCCAAGTAAGCTCCAATAAGGCCGACATCTTTTGATTTTTTTTCCATAAATTGACACCAGATTTCCCCTAGAGAAAATTCAGAATAAATTTTGTAGTTTTTAAAGCCTGAGCGAAAAGTTCTATGAAATTTTAAGTCAAATCCAAACAAACAAACAATATCCTCCTGGTGACATTTCTTGGAGAAGGATGTGCCTGCATACTTGAATGAACATGCATGCCACAATGGGTCTCAATTCCTACACAGTACAATAGTACTATGTATGGAATGTATGGGATGTTAGGGGAAGGATGGTAACTATGATGGGGGACACGCTGTGTTCCTTCTGGGATAGTTTGTCCACATGTTGTCCCCACCCTGCACTCAGCTCTCACCTGTGGCTCCTAGAAGTTATCAGTCTGAGACAGTGGCCACATCCCAGGAAACAGCTTCAACTGGTCAGCTAAACCAGGTGAGGGTAGCCCATGGGTCTCAAACCCTCATTGAGTTAGGGACTTCCCCCGCATGCGAAGACAGGCTCCAGTGGATTGAGCGGACAAGATCAACAGTAGGTCCAACGATCAATAAGGCAGTTTCTGCATGTGCTGTAGGGGGAAGTGAGGGGCAAGTGGGGCTCGTCAACCATCAGGGAAAGGAAAACTCTGATCCTAAACCTCCACTGCCTTGTGGGGTATCTTCAGGAGAAGAAAAAAAGCTAAGGAGTAAACCCCTACACAAACCCCTAAGATGGTTGGATGACACCTTGTACACCTCCTTCTGGCAACTCCTGATGCCAAGCTGGTGCCAAATATATTGCTCAGCTTTCCTTTGGACCACATCAAGGAAACTGAGAGGATGGTCTGGGCAGCCCAGCACCTTCATACACACTGTCCAGGCTTGTGCCTTGGGGAGCTCACTTCGGTGCTGCTAATGCAGCAGTTTGACTTCACCCTTGGAGGCGCATTCCATTGTCTTCTGAGACAGACGGGTGCCAACAACAATAGTAGTCAAACAATAGTCCCCCTTCAAGAATA